TACATATATATATATATATATATATATATGTAATGTATAATAATAATAATAATAATAATTATAATATTATGTATAATGCTAATAATTTCAATAGAGGTTTCATAATTTAGTAAAAAAGAAAGGGAAAACACTAATGCTTCAATTGGGACCATTGCCGCGCTCGGTAGTTTTTTAGCTGATTCCGGGCAGATCAGCTCGTTGTACAGTCTGCGTCGTGTTTCCTGGTCGAATTTAATCGCGAACCAATCAATTTCAACGAGGATTTCAAGATTCCTTCCCACGTAACACATTTCCATAAAGAAATGATTGACACGTACCTTGTAGTAGATCTTATTGATCCGGGGCCAATAGTAGTTGCCCACTTTGGTCTTGTTGCGCAGTAGTATTATCCCGCTCGGAGTCAGACCAAGGAAATACTCCACGCTATCCTCGCCCTGCGGAACATATTTTGATTAGCCAAACATGATTTCAATTCCGATATTTCGATGGACTCACCAATACGGGATGCAGGTCGACTCCGTACATTTCTAGCCATTTCACTTTGTCGAGATAATTGAGTTCCGCAGCGGAGGGTAATTGTCCTCTGTAAAACAAATCATTGTAACGACAACGGGCGAGGAAACGTTGCAACCCGTCGTGAATTCGGGGAACTTACACGAGGGTTTTGTGGAGTTCCACTATACGGTTCTCCAGTTCCGTGGTCTGATTCGCTAGGAATCGAAATTCGGTAACGTAGCCTAAGGAATGTCGTCTTGGATCGTAGTCCCCGAGTTCCGCTGGAAAAACACCAAATAAGATTCGTTAGAGAGAGTATTGTAGATTTTGATCGGGCGCCGTAAATCAACGGGGTCCGACTACAGGGTGCCACAAAAATTTCTTGCAAACTGGAAATGGGGGATCCCGAGGTTATTCGAAGCAACTTTTTCCTTAGCGAAATTGCAATCCGCGGCTTCGTTTGCGGGTTATTAACGAAAAACGCTGACCAATGAGAGGCGAGCTAGGCTGGCACAAAGCGGTCCAGCCAACGAACGCACGAAGCCCAGTTCCGCTCATTGGCTCGGTCGCCTCGCGCCAGCTGAGCTGGGATTCGACCGCCTCGACCGCTGGCGCTGCTGGCTCGGCCGCCTCGCGCCAGCTGAACTGAGATTCAACCGCCTCGACCGCTGGCGCCGTTGGCTCGGCCGTCTCGCGCCAGCTGATCTCGCCCCTCATTGGTCACTGTTTTTCGTTAATAACTCGTAAACAAAGCCGCGGATTGCATTTTCGCTTAGGAAAAAGTTACTTTAAATGACTTCAGGAACCCCCACTTACGGTTTGCGAGATATTTTTCGGACATCCTATATAAGTGCACGTTTACGTTGGAACTGCGATAAACGATCAAAGGAAGCGTTTACGTTGATAACGCGATCTGAATTCGATAAACCATATTATCGAATTCAAACACGATAGCAGAGCTATTCTCGAGAACCGCTCATCTTTGTGAAACCTCGGATCAGCTAAAGCTATTCTATAGGTTCATAGGTATTGTAGACTTAGAGATTATACTAGGTGATTCATTAAAACTGTTACAAAGCAGTATCTCTCTTAACGATACTCAAAATGCTAGAAGAACAGATCGTATGGTTCGAAAAGACACACATATTGCAGTAGAGATAGTTTTTTTTTTCTTAAAGATTATATTTTTCGAGGTTGTATTCATCGATGTCTTTTTTACACGGGATTACACATTTCTATCATTATATGATGATAGTTAAGATAAAAACGAATCCAATGACCTGCGATAACATGTTGTTAATCGTTGGCGGATCTCTTACAAACAGATAACCGGCGGCGCAACGTTCGCAGCAGAAAACGAGTTCGAATCAATCGAAATTTTCGCTCGACCGGAAATTCGGTTCTTTCGTGCCGTCCTCGGCTTGCTCGGCAGCCGGCCCTGTCGTCGTCAATTTCCATGGGACACGCCGACAGAAATGCCCTCTAGAAATCATCCTATCCGGTTAATTGAATCACCGACTTTGATGAATATCTGGCTCGACCGGCGCGGCGCGGTGCAACGCTGCGGCGACGGGGGCATTTTATTTTCTTGCTGTCTCTCGTCTCTCGTCCCGACTCGACCCGACCGTCCACCACGGAAAGAACCGGGCACCTTGTCGACGCCGCGCGGCCGGCTTCTTGTATGTTCATTCGGTCGCGTAATTACAAGACCGCGGGGCGAAATCGCGTCCATCGTGGTTCTCGTTGAAAAACCGAATCGGGAGAAATGGAATCGGCAAAGAGAACACGCGCGCAGCCGATCGACAGGCCCGCGCTTTCAAACGACGTGTTTTTCGTATCGAAAGTTCGTTATTTTTGGGAAATAATGCGTCGATGGTAAAAGTTCGAGCAGATTTCCAAAACTTTTCGACAAACCGAGGGAACGGACACGCGGTAGATTCTTCAAGCTCGTACGTTTGTCACGCTGAAACATGATTTCCAGAACTTTTGCTTCAATTCGAATTCATATACTCGGCTAATGTCTCGTCGTCGGCATTTCATTGTTCGCAATCGCGAATATTGCGACTCGCGACTCGCCGCATTCGCTGTTGTGTTTTGCCGAGATGAAATTCGTGAAGCGTAAAAGCTTGTAGCATCGTCTCTGCAAATTGATCGATGTCAGCGCGGAGCAATCGCGGGGAGAAAATCATCCGTTTGATGTATTACAGAAACTCGACATTGTGTCCGGCAAAGGGACTTATCGGACGTAGTAAATTACATCCGGTTGTATTCTTGTTGATGTTTCATTTCTATCGGCCACGCTTCGCTCTTTCAGTTCTCCGTTCCCTCCCGTGTTTTCAATCGCGAAGGTAATAGGATCTACCGAATCCTTTGTATCGATAGAAGCGTCTAGATACGAGCAATATCTTCGTTTGTCAAAAATTGCTCGAGCGGGAAAACCGAGGAATTGCTTCGACCGTGAAGTCGTTCTTGCTTTTACTTTTTCTACATCTGCCAGTGGCATGTCTCGATCCCGGCCTTTATAAAACGCAGTTTCTTTGGATCAAAATCCTCGGAGCAGATTTGAACACTGAATCGATCGAAGGTAATCGTAGAAAAGGGTTTCAAAATTGAGAGGGTTTCTGCTCAATTAAACAGTTTGTTTAGACGTCTGATGCCTGACGTCTTCGAGTGTTTAATTAGACAATGTCGGGGCAATAATGGCGGCATAGAAGAGCAGTCGTAAACGCCTCATTGACCGCGACCGAACGAAACGTCTTGGAGTTTGGAACCTTCGAGCTGGTTCTCGCGGGGAAGATCGGTTCTACGGAATTATGAAATTAAATTCATTTACGAAACGAGACGATCGCTCGGGAAAGCCGAGGCCGCGGGACCAAAGTGTCCGGGAAATTTGCTGGAATAATGGGATCCGCTCGAGGGACTTCCGAGATGGAAGAATAATGCCTAAGGTGTTTCCGTCGCGGATCTAATGGCATCGTGCTCAAAGCTCGGTCCCCTATCTTGTTTGAGATCTCCGGAAAGCTGGACAACGCTTTTCAACGGTCGCGTCGGCCGACTCCATTTCCATTTCTCGAATGGACCGAGATCTCCGGTAGTCTCGAGGAAAAACTAAATGACTGCTCTACTTATACCTAGAGCACCTCCAATATTTGCTCAAGCGACGGGCAAACGGCTCCCGTTCCCGTAGGAAAACGCGTTATTCGCGACGAGGACGACACGACACACGGTGGTTTGGCGCAGCAACGATCCATGGCCAAAAGATAATTTTGCAACTTTCATATTTTCAACGATTGCTTTTTCTAATGGGTTTACAACCCTCCCCCCCTTCCCAAAGTTTTAAAATCTACAATATATTCAGACAGTTCTGTAATAAACGAACTAAGGTTTTAAATTAATTATTATAGAGTATTAATATATATAAGTTTATAATATGGTATTTAATAAAACCATATTATAAACTTATATATTAATACTTTTATAATATGACTACGGATCTTTATGGAAAATAAAGATTGTATTTGTGAACTGCAATTACCGGTTGTCAGACAGAAATTTCTTCCTTTCTTTAATGATTTTACTAACTGAAAAATAATATAATGACACTCATAAATTCTCTTAACCTGGCTATTGTTTTAAATTCGATCTGCTCGTTTTTGTCATAAATGCATAAAATCGGCAGTCTAATTATTAATTATATGTTGGTAAATTGGTATGTATTTTAGTTATTTAAGTATCGTGTATACATTTTTTATTATACGCGTATAAACATAATAACAATTTAAACTTTAGGAAAACTCGCAGAAAAGACTGTTAAAAGTTGTTCGAATGAGACTTGCTTTATACGAAAGCTGATTCAACGAAAGCTTGTCAAGGACATATAAATTTCAAGTGCGTCCTCCGCACCACTCGACTCTATGGTATTTGAAAAATAAAGCTCGGGCTGTATTTCGACGTCTGGGTAAGCAGTCGAACGGTAAACAAGCTCGTTACTCAGCGCTCGTATTCAATTTCAAAACGAACCATGATCTTTCAGACATTTCCGATGATCTGGCAAAGAAATGTTTTCAACGAAGAAGTTGATCGGTATTCATTTTTCTATAAATCAGAATATAAAAACCTGCAAAAAAACGTTTTTTTCCTTTAAAAAATGCTGGTCACTTCGATGTTTTAAACGATAATACGTATTTTCAACTCGATAATAGTGTAGCCGGTGTCGAGACGAATTCAACGACATGCTATACCGTAACCATAAACCTTGAAACAACGCTAAAACAATTTTGACCACGAATCGCTGTTTCGTTAGATCGTTGTGCGACGACGACGCGATACGCGACGCGACGTACACGCTCCGAAGTCGAGCCATGAAAATCACGCGAATCTCAACCGCGTCCCAGATCCCGACTTGATTAATACTTGCCGCTGAAGCATGTCTCTTCTCCCTGTCAAATTACTTTTCGACGCGGGACAAGTATGTAATTACGACTGTCGCGATGCTGAGCTTTTTTCCAGCGGAAGCAAGAGCTCGCGGTTGTCATCCGTGCTCCGCGGTCTGAGTAAAGTCACTTGAAATTATTTTCTCGACGCGATATCGTCTCGTTGTTCCGTGTCGCGACGTTGCGGGTCGAGAAGTATCAGCTGACGGCTAGAAAGCTTTTGCGCTAGAAAACGGGTCGAATTTTTTACTCATAGACCGTAATGGAACCGGTTACCGTGGAATGACCAATTACTGTCCCTTTGGTTTCTTTATGGGAGTAATTGATTTTATATCTAAACAATAGGACGCAGTCAATTTTTTTTATTCGAAAATAAATACAATAAAAGAGTAAAATAATTGTCTACGTATTATTCTTTAAATATAAAGTGAATTATGCGCAAGAACAAATCAAAGACACGGCAATTAGACATCATTAGACTGCCGATTTTCATGCAAAATAAAAATTGTCTGCATTGATTGCAAGATGCAGGTGCTACAGAAACATTTGTCTCTTTCCTCAATGATATCAATGAGTTGTAAATAATACAACAATGTTACTAAATTCTCCAATTGGTTTTAATGTTTTGAGAATCCTGAATAATTTTCATAATTATTTGAATAACGTATGTTTCAAATAATAAATGAACCTTTTATTATTTACACTGAGCATATATACTTGCTCCTTATCCTAACTCTGAATAAATCCGTTCCTTTCTCCTCGAAGATCCAGACCGAACTTCCCGACTCGACGTAAACACATGCATTCCTTTCTTCCGAGTAACCACCGGTATAAACATTCGACGCTTC